TATTTATTCCCGAGTTCACCAAGTAGGAAGAGTTCACACTTCTAAAAGTAAATTCTTCCTTTCCCTCCACTTCCAGGGAAGCAGTTCTGCAGCGCCCGTCCCAAACCATGGTGCCGTAGCTCATGGAGCAAACCGAAGCCAAGACCACTGGCACCAAAAATCAGCGGGAGGGAGGCAAAGGCAGTGCTGTAGGACTCTACAAGGGATCCAGGGCCGAGGAAGGACCACGCTGCTGCAGTTTCCCGGCCAGCCAGCAGTGGGAGGCAAGCGCCCACCCAGCGCTGGGAGCGGTTCCCGCACCCCCACTTCTGTAGGGCAGCAGCTACACGCACGGCCCGGGCAACCAAAGGGTGGTCACACACATTTTCACACCTCGTTTCAAGAAAATTCAGCTCCTTTTACAATTCAAGAGAGGATCAAAACTTCAAACGTGATCTCGCTAATAAAATTGTGACTGTAAGCTTAGCTGGCCCCAGCACAGTTTAACAAGCACTAGTTGATTGGGGTTTTTTTGACATAGGACATAGTGCTTATTGCTATTCAAAAAGAACAGAGAATAATACACACAAAGAGAAGGAAATGTTATCATTTTGTTTCTGCTCATCTAAATCTGTCCCCCGTCAGGCTAATGAAAGCTTTACTATTTATTCACAGGAGGTTAATTGGCCCAAGGGGAAAAAAAAATAAATCCCTCCTATTAAAAATTTCCAGCCTACTTAAAGTAAAATTTTTCTGGAATCACTTTGAAACATTAATGCTGGCTGTGACACATTTGTCCCCAAATACTCTTCTCCTATTTTTTTGGATGACATTATAGTGGCAGTTTTGGAATCTCAAAACCAATCTTGTTAATATATTGTCTTACTGGACTAAACAAAAACAGTAACAACCTCAAAGAAAAAGTGAAAGCATTATTTCCATTTCTACAGAAAAGATTATAAGATTACTTATTTCACTGGACTATTTAAATATACAAATATGTAATTTTTTTGCAGGCTATACCTAGCCACTTCTAAACCAAGATAAATTCACAGAGTTCTTTAGGACTTACCTGCTAATTAGGGAAGAAAATAATAAGAGTGACATGTTTGAGGTTGGCCTCAGCACATCCCACTATCTTCAGCTGGAGTTTTAAGTAGTCAAACAATTAGGCTCTCCCTGCATCCTTCATGGAAAGGAAATTACATTCCCTCTGCTACTGAAAGGTAGCAGTAGCTTTTGAGAATGCATCACTAGATAGATGCTAAAATAAACGCAATGTTAACAGTAAAGTACAAACAAGAAATCATACACCCTTTCCTTTTATTAGTGGAAAGTAACACATAGGAAGAATTGATTTGAAATTGCTTATTTCTGATGCTTTGGACATCCACGCGCAAAACTATGTGATCTGCTATCTGCAAAATAAGGACCACGACAGGAATACGTAGTCAACAGCTGTGTTACAAGTGAGTAGCTCTGCTCAAAACAAACACGTTGGTTAGCCGAGGACAAATACGAATTTTTCCAAGCGGCATACAAAAGCTTTAGCCAGGTAACTTCTCTTCCTTCCCCATCTATCCCTGACACATCTGCTACCTACCTTTCAGGTTCCCAACAGATCAGAGAAAATTCTTAGAAAATAGCCCTAGTTTAAGCTCAGATCAATGTTCGAGAGCTTAATTCTAGGAAAAAAAATGTAGCATTACATAGAAGAATGTCTATCCACAATTTAGCTCTAAATGGCTGCAAATGAAAAAAATTGGTCTTGTTCCTCCCATCCTAAGGAATGACCACAGCTCAAAATTCCAGCACGCTGAAAGCAATCAAGACCCTATAAAATCCAGAGAGGTAAACTCAAAGATCAAATTACTTAGTTGTCACTCCTGCAAATATATACTGTGAACACTGTGGTAGTTTTCACAGGTTAGATACGCAGACAGTTACTGGGTTAGAAATGCAGCATTCCAGAAATCCAAATACAAACAAGTTTTCTTCCCTCAAATGTGATTTGCATTCATGAGATTTAATATTGCCACAACATTATTTTTTTACAAGTTGCTGAAACTAAAGTCCATTTTAGAATTCAGAACATAGATAAATCAACATTAATCTTGCACAAATTCCGTTTCTTTCCACCACATTTTCATGTGGAAAGTTTGGAGCAGGCACAATTCCAAAGTATCCCCATGTACGCGCTTGATTTTAGGAAGGTTATGTTCATTCAGTATGCACAGTACTAAAAAATAATACTGAATAATACTAGCTCTTCTTGTCTAGCTAGTATCATGAGCATAACTCAATGAACAATAAACCAAAGGTCAGGATTATGCAGGTACCTTTATTATGAAATATGTTTGAAAGCTTGTTTCGTACTACACTGCTACATTGTCTAATGCATCTTCTCAATAAGGAAACCAAAATTTTCTCCAAGTTTAACACAAATTTCCCTTCTGCTGTGCAGGTGATGCATTAGGATGATGGGACTCTTACCAGTGGAAAAATCTAGAATAAGAAAATTAACAATTTCGACAGCTAAAATATCCCAATCCCTACATGATCATGAATGCTTGTGTTTATACTTCTCACTAACCTTCAGCCTGCCTAATACTGCACACGCAATCTTAGTACATGATTTCAGCGTTGCTGTGAAATGACACATCAGAATCAAAGCTTCATGTTTCTATCATAACAGGCACTGTGCTGCTAATTGAGTTTCATTATATATTTGGTTTTCATTTTCTGCCTAGCAAGGATTGACTTTTTTCTCCTCTAGATGTGGTATTATCACACAGAAGATTCTCTTTTTCTCCATAAAATGATATGCTCTTCCAGGTATGAAGGGAAATTCGCTTCCCTTATTTTGGTTCAAATTCCACCATTATCTAGAAAAACATGACCTAGTTTAACAGTGGCCACTGTATGGTTCTTAACTCCAAGTAGCTCTCAAGGCACTTCGAGTGCAGCTCCTGCATTAAAGTGACAACATGGCCAAAAGCTGGGCAGCTTGGCAATATCAATCCTTGTGACAAGGAAATGCGAGTCAGAGGCACCCAAGGCCAGAAGCATCCCGGTTGCTTTAGGATCTGACTGTATGCTCAGCCCACCCCAGAGTTTGTGCCCTCTAAAGGCTACTGGTCTCTCTCCCTTATGAGATGCTCCTTGACCTCCTCCCGCTCCCCAACCCACTTCTCCAGCGAACACAGCTCTCAGACATACAAAGATTTTGCACATACTGAGTGGAGGCACAAAGGCTGTCTGTGCCCACTGTGGTGCATTAATTTTTAATGCTTCGGGCTTTACACATTTCACAGTTTACTGGCAGGAGAATATTGAAAAGTTATTGACACGATATTGCTTCCAAAATGACTTATTTTTTTGCTAGTCACTGCAATACTCCCACTTGGGATTTTAAAACTAACCAGTAAGAAAGTGTGTAATACTTGCCACCAAAAATATTTTAAGCTGCATAACAATATTTGACACGATTCCAGATGTTCTTATGATAACGGTATTCATGGCATAGAGCTACTTGGCACCGTGTGCAAGAGAGATGGAATCTCTGGTACTTACATCCAATCATCATCATAGCAACAGCAAAGATTTTCTCCCCATCTGTCGTCGGAGCGATGTTCCCAAATCCGACACTGGTGAGGCTGGTCATCGTGAAATACAAGGAGGAGATGTAGACTGAATCTTTGCTTGGCCCGCCTTCCCATTTTCCAAAGCCTGACACGTTAAAGCGGTAAGGCGTCCCTATTGACATCCCCAGCTGATAGAGCCAGCTCTTGGTTCGGATCGTGTTTGTATCCTCATCGATAACTTCATAGTCTCCTATGCTATACCAAATGCAGGCCAGCCAGTGGGCTGCGAGACCAAACACGCACACCAGCAGGACCAAGACTGCTGCTCCATATTCGATGTAGTGGTCCAGCTTCCGAGCGACACGACCCAGCCGAAGTAGCCTCACCACTTTAAGCGAACTGAAGAGGCTGCTGATGCCCTAGAAGGAAGAAGCATGGCAACCGTTAGAATTTGATATTAAAGCAAGAATAGTCATAAGGGCAGTTTCCAAAGACACGAGGGATCCATAACAAATAGATGGTCATCAGGCAACACCTGAAAAGAGACTAGGAAACATGAAAAGGTTAGTGACCCTTTTCAGGGATGGATATCTGCACTCTTGTCTTCATCCATTAACATTGTGGATGTTGCCCTCTTCATCCCCCCTTTCAGATTATTTAAACAGGTCTATAAATACATTTGCAAAGACTTAAATGACAGGCTATTTATTGCATGTGCAGTTGTGGAAGCAGGCTGTCCCAGAGCATCCTGATGATGCTTTAGGCTGACTGAAAATAAACGTGGAAGTTGCTGACCATTAATAATGACACAAATCTAATGTTGAGGGGAACATAACCAGACACCTATTGAATTCATGGCAGCATCTGGAGTCATGAAATTCTTATGGCTATTCTTGACTTCCTATTGATCCTGGGCAACACATGTCCTCCCCTGTCTCAGATATAATGCAGTTTGCAGTATTTAGCTGAGACATACCGGAAAGATAATGAGGAAGGCTAAAAAAAAATACTGGAAATATCTGCTGATTTGTAATTTTTCAGTGTAACTTCATTTCCTATTACTTTACTTTCATATAAGAATTCACAAGCAGATAATCAGTCCTCTGACATTTCTCACATGGACTACACATAAAGCTTAACTATTTCAAATACCTCACTAATCCCCACATCATATTCTTTTATTACAGCTTTGTTATCAATGCAGTATTTCTGCACTGATATTAATATGGCTCCCATAAAAGAGAACTAAGCCAGAATGCAGGATTCTGCATTGTTAACTTTAAAATAGATTTGCAATTCCATGCACAAGAAGTTAAATTAAAAAATTCAAAGCCATTTGGGGCACTAGAAGATCTGAATAGCCTTTCATAAAAAATCCTTTCTTTTTTTTTTTTTTTCCTACTCCTTCTTATCAAGACTGTTTCATACATAGAAGTCTGATTAAAATTTAACAGACTGGTTTAATGAGTATTTCTGGAAATGTATAATTGCATACTTCTGGTCACCAGCTTTTACTGGAAGTTTGTTTATTCTTGCATAAATACAACCGCTTCAGTATCTTAGCCTGGTTCAATGCAATAGAAGAGATGTTTTATTAAATAATTACATAAAGCATATTGACTCATGTTCCCCAGGACTGCAGCAATGTATTTCCCCTTTATTTCATGAATTTGTCATGATTACATTGACTCATTTTCAGAGACAGATATAATTTGTTACCTGGGAACACACTATCAATTTCTATTAAGTATTTGGACAAGATCTAACACAACTAGGGGAGGAGAGAAAAAAGGAAGCACAAAAAGAAAAAATAACAGCCTTCCTTTGAATCAGAAATATCTGCAGAGATCTAGAAAAGACAAAGCGATCTATTCTTTTCACGACTATCTATGCCAAACTTTTCAAGTCACTCATGTAAAAGATCCTCCACAAAGTAAATTTCCATTTCCCATTCATTCCATACCTAGCTTTCTTTCGTAAACATTGGAGCAAAAGCCTTGATGCCAACTTGGTGAATACGACACAGAAGGCATTAAGGCCTTGGTTTCCAGCAGAAAGAAGGCAGGTACTTCTAAACACTCTGTATGAGGAGGAAAAGCAAATGGGAAAATATGCAAAACTATAACACGGTAACTATATTTTAGAACTAGATACGCAAGGTCCTGAATGACAAGCATGTATAGTCTCTACATCTGAAATACCCACATTCTGACCTTACAACACAGCCTCCCAAGTATTTTTCCTCAGTATCAATACCCGTTTCTCTTTTTCCTCTTTATTGTTTCACTGTTAAAGTTTGCAATGTTTTACACTTTGAGAGGTCTCCAATTATAGCCTGATTTTAGCTTCAGTCTCAAAGCCAAGCTTTTTAATCACGCAGTGCTTACAAGTCTCAGGCAAGGGCAGGACATTTTTCCATCCCAATATACTAAAAAAGTTTTAGTTTTGCTCAAAAACAGGGGTGCAAAATTTGTTCTTAAAACTAAACTCATCACTGGGATTTTAAAAAAATAAATACTGTTTGTCAGTGAGAATCCTACCAAACTAAAAATAATAACGATTAAAGGACTTAAAAGTTTGGAAATTGGCTAAATCTTCATTAATTAAAAAAAGTCAAGTATTTCTAATACTTGGGGGGCCAAAACGTAGAAGGGGAGCTTAAGAAGGTGGACATAAAAAATGGGACTAAAATAGCTGAAATTAGATTTAAAATGTTTAACACAAACTATTTGGCTTTCAGAGTACTCATCTTAATTTCCCTTGTGAAATTCACAAGGAGAAATTTTGTAAGGACATTTAAAATATAATAGAACTACATCATCTGAGAGAAAGTAGTTCTACCAAATTCTGACCAGAGGTAAAGAGAATTAGGGTTTTTTGTACAAAAAGAACTTGCTTATTTACAGAAAATAAGTACTTTATTTAGTTGCATTGAAATGATGTATTTAATATTCAGATTAGTCACAATATTTCCCCTGATTGCATTGCCAATAAGATTCTAAAATTTAAGAAAAAACTAAAAAAAAAAAAAATTAATTTTTATTTTAGCATTATCTGTATCTGTATTTTTTTATTTGATTTCCTCAGAGGAAAGGATTTGTCTATTCTAAATGGATCAATATCAAGAGGAAGAAATGCCCAGGGAAATAATTATTCATATAACTCTCTTAGAAATTTCTAAGTGACAGAATTTCAAATTGGTATAAACGATGGGAACTTAATAGACTGTTTCATAGATGATACAGAATCAAAATAAAAATTCAGATCATTCTCCAACACTTTAAAACAGTACTTTCTGTCACTAAATTTAGCAAGTGATATTTTAATGTTCACCGGAATAGATCTGCTGGATTCAAAATTCACATTTTTAGATTATTGCTTTCCAAAATAGGACTGTACTGTCCATCTTAAAGCTCTTATCAGTGCAGATTACTTTTATGCTTTTATCAGACAGATGGCTCCACGATGTCACGCAAAAGAGCATGAACTCAATTTACTCCTCTTGATGCATGTCCCACCCTCTGAGCTCTGCTACTCCTATAACCTTTGAGAGGCAGATTATGAAGACACCCAGGGCTCCTTCTGCCCGAAGGTTCATAAGGAGATAGAAATTGCACCACGGGTCCCAAACAGACACCCTCAGATGCTTTGCTTTCAAAGATCTCCAGAGGGGAATGTCTGTGTGTCAGCGTAGGAAACGTCTTGTCCCATAAAAGTCTACCTGCACCTGATTTACTCAGACACAGTTCCAACTATTAGTATTCTATTCAACAGAAATCTTCCCTGGAGAGCTATGCAGAAGCTAAGAAATCTGTAATAGGGCCGGGGTAGACAAACAGTACATATTTACTATATTTTGTTATAGAGAGAACTTGCGATCAGCACTTAAGTCAAATACGGCAGAAAATTAATTTCACACAAACTTATATTTTAAATTGTTTGAAGGTTACTTCAATGTTTTTACATCTGAATGACACTAAATAAAGATTCTACTGCCAATACCTGCATATAGTTGTTGACAAATATTTAATAGGTGGGCATGTTTACTTTCATTGCCAGTGATGGCTGATGCATAAAAATGGAAGAATCTGTAGCAAGTCTCCTCCAAACCAAAGGGCAAACTCAAAGCACTGAAAGGCAGAAGAAATAACTATTTGCTGATTGAGCAAATCTGAATGTCAAAAGCCCTTACAAAAAAAAAAAAAATGCAGCCACTCCTCTTCCTCTCCTACACAACCTTTGCAGAGTGGAACTGCACCTCAAACATCACAAAACACCAGAGTAGCCTCCGTCCCAGAGGAAAGCAGGAACTACATTTTACTTTCAAAGACAATGCTTCCTAAGTTTGTACATAAAATACTGCTAAAAGTAGATTTCCATGAGTAGTCTGTCATTCATTAGACCTACACTCACTAGATACTGTGCACATTTACACAGATTTTCTTTTGTATCTCCTTGTTTTCTGCAAGACATGACCTACTGTCAGTGCAACCCTTGTGTCATGTTGGTACCTCAGCCATGTAAACAATCTTCTTTCCAAACACAGGATCCAGGCTATCCATGTTTTGGCTCTAGCTTTGCATCAGACAACATAAGATTTGTGCCATTACTTCCCTTTCCATAAAAAGAGACAGAGAAGAGACACTGTGGTGAAGTACTTTGTGAAGTGTTTTGAAAACATAAGGGCTTTAAGCAGAGAAGTTGTTAGTTACTTGTGTCATTATGGTCCCCAAGAACATTAACAGTGGACACTACAGTGCTAGATACTGTAAAAATAAAAAACAGTTGCTGCTGCTCATTTGCCATGCAAAATTAAATTCAACCCAACTCACTGAATAATAAAATTCCACCTAGAAAAAAATAAGTTAGAAATAATTCATTCTCCCTTCCAAACAAGATGTAGGATGAACAACTTCAGAAAAGAACTAAAATGCAACTTTCATCCCACCTCCTACAGCTGGAGTAGCACTAGCGGTTTAGTAATAGATTCAATTTGCATGACAGTATTCACTTTTTAGGCCATTACTTACTTTCCATGTGTATGAGAAGAAAATGCACTTAGCCCAAGCATTTAGGGGTTTTTTTTCTAGGCTCAAAGAAAGTATAATGTACTTCCTACTTACTATCTGTTTTTTAAAAAAAAGAGAGAAATATTCAGTATTGGCACAAATCTGTTCAAACTTTTCCAGCACTTTCCTCTCATATGGAACTGCTGAACTTCAGGCTTCATCTCAATTAAAGGAAGATGCAGGAGACTAAAAGCTAACCATTAAAAGAATGAGCATGAAACCAAAAAAAAAAAAATTAATTATTTATCAAAAAAAGGGAGACAATTAACTCACTTTATCACTACCATAAGTGAAGCAAGAGCCATGGAAGGCACTGCCTTTCTTGACGTTTGATTCTGAAGTCCGCTGTG